TGCGGGAACGATCCTACAGTTACAAATCACAATGGAATTCTGTCGACCGCAAATGCACGAAACACACTTGAAACCCCATTTACAATGCGGAACCGATCCGACCATGGTCCGAGCATGATCCGACATGATCCATGATCCGACCACACACGAGACCGTCTCGCACCCGTCGCACCGCAGAGGTAGATCATTGACGTTCGGGGACAGACTTTGTATGGAAAAACATAGGGTTTCGTGCATCTGCTATCTCTCAAAAACGCATTTCGTGCGAGACTTCCTCCAAACTCCATCGGCAACTCCTCCACCAGCACCACTTGCAATGCCATTTACAGTGAGGGAACGATCCTAGAGTTGCAAATCACAATGGAATTCCATCAGCAACTCATCCACCAGCACCACTTGCAACCCCATTTACAATGCGGGAACGATCCTACAGTTGCAAATCACAATGGAATTCTGTCGACCACACATGCACGAAAAACAGTTGAAACCCCATTTACAATGCGGAACCGATCCGAGACCGATCCGAGACCAATCCGAGCATGATCCGACCACACACGAGACCGTCTCGCACCCGTCGCACCGCAGAGGTAGATCATCGAGGTTCGGGGACGGACTTTGTATGAAAAAAAAAATCGGGTTTCGTGCATCTGCTATCTCTCAAAAACGCATTTCGTGCGAGACTTCCTCCAAAACTCCATCGGCAACTCATCCACCAGCACCACTTGCAATGCCATTTACAGTGAGGGAACGATCCTAGAGTTTTAACTCTTTCTTTGACTAACTCTTTCCCTGACTAACTGTTTCTTTGACTAACTCTTTCTTTGACTAACGGTTTCTTTGCTAACTCTTTCCCTCACTAACTCTTTCTTTGACTAACTCTTTCCCTGACTAACTCTTTCTTTGACTAACTCTTTCTTTGACTAACTCTTTCCCTGACTAACTGTTTCTTTGATAACTCTTTCCCTCACTAACTCTTTCTTTGACTAACTCTTTTTGACTTCTTTGACTAACTCTTTCTTTGACTAACTCTTTCCCTCACTAACTCTTTCTTTGACTAACTCTTTCCCTGACTAACTCTTTCTTTGACTAACTCTTTCCCTCACTGACTCTTTCTTTCACTAACTCTTTCCCTCACTAACTCTTTCTTTGACTAACTCTTTCCCTGACTCACTGTTTCTTTGACTAACTCTTTCTTTGACTAACTCTTTCTTTAACTAACTCTTCCCCTGACTAACTGTTTCTTTGACTAACTCTTTCTTTGACTAACTGTTTCTTTGCTAACTCTTTCCCTCACTAACTCTTTCTTTGACTAACTGTTTCTTTGCGAACTCTTTCCCTCACTAACTCTTTCTTTGACTAACTCTTTCCCTGACTAACTGTTTCTTTGACTAACTCTTTCTTTGACTAACTCTTTCTTTAACTAACTCTTTCCCTGACTAACTGTTTCTTTGACTAACTCTTTCTTTGACTAACTGTTTCTTTGCTAACTCTTTCCCTCACTAACTCTTTCTTTGACTAACTCTTTCTCTCACTAACTCTTTCTCTCACTAACTCTTTCTTTGACTAACTCTTTCCCTGATGAACTCTTTCTCTAACTAACTCTTTCTTTGACAAACTCTTTCTTTGACTAACTCTTTCCCTGACTAACTCTTTCTCTCACTAACTCTTTCTTTGACTAACTCTTTCCCTGACATTCTAAAAGTCCGTAACACGCAAGTTTCTCCCCCTAAACTTCCTTTGATAATTTCTGGTAATTCAACACTGCTACTTGTAGAGATGGCCTACTCATAGATTGTAAACACCATGGTGATTGTGCTACCAGGTACCATTTCTGGTTTAGGAATCCTGTTGTGTCTGGAGATATATTGGAACAGATTCACAGTGATCAGAGTTTAGCCTGATAAAAAAGCGCCGGATCCCGGTTAAATTCGTTGGCTGAATCCCGGCTTGGGTCAATTCAATGCATATGGATGGTTCAAACCTCAGTTTTTTGGCTGTTTCAAACCTCATCTGGGTTCAAACCTCATTTTGAATCAGTTTGAATGAGGAATGTGGGTTTGCAGGTACCCCTCATCTCGGATTTTTGGTTTTTGCTACAGAAACCTTGGACAGCTACTTTAGTACTGTATAACATGATCTTTGGCTAGTATGAGGGGAGACAGATACACCACAATTTACAAAACAATTTACATACCAATTGACATAACAATGTTCATAAATACTCACCAACAACTCATGATGTTTTTTTGGTTGCAACGGATCCGAGATTGGGAAGGCACCGGAAAGCACAGCACCTGCAGGCAAGGCGAAAGAGCAGATGTTTGAAGCAGAGGTTCGCCACGGCGTTTTCGCAATGCCCATTTTTTTCGCACCACCCATGGTGTACCATGATGTACCGAAAACTCCAAGTTGTTGGTGAATAAATTCGACATGTTTGCTGGTTAACATGTGTTAAACCATGGTAAAATATGTTAAAACATGTTAAGACATGCAAAAACATGTTAAAACATGTATTAAAAAAACATGAGCATGCTAAATCCAGGCTTTTTGGCCGGTTAAGTCCCCATTTCAAGCCCAGCGAACGGCTGTTTCGCCTCAGGTGACATTTTCGGGCACCGGACTCAACAGCTTCATCGAGAGCCAGAAGCAGGACGCCCTCAGCTGTCGCATGCTGTCGCCCCATCCCTGGTTTTGATTTTGGGTGAATCCACTTACTGTCAATCCACCCTAAGTTATAGTTATCCCTACTGGTTGGTGGTTTAAAACATTTTCCATATATGGAGAATAATCATCCCAATTGATTAATATTTTTCAGAGGGGTTGAAACCACCTTACTGTTGATCCGCCATAGTTGTAAGTTATATCAGTAATTAGGGTTAATCCACTTCGAACTAGGCTGAACTTACGTTATATGTGGGATAAATCCAAAATGTTTTTGTTTTTTTTTATCATCTGGCTGAAGGGAGGTTATAAAATGCAAAAGATATAGATCATGCTCCAGCCATTTCTATCAGAGTGAACAATTATATAATTATATATATAGTTGTCTGTAGATGCTTGGTTTTCCATTGCCATGTTCCCAACAATGGGGAACCAGTTGTTGGTCCTGAGAGTGTGGCGAAACAACGATAGCCCAAAGATTTGGATACCAAAGTAGGGCAGCAACAAACCCAGCGGATTTAAGATGATTATCTGGTTGGTGGTTTGGAATATGAATTTTATTTTTCCATATATTGGGAAAATGATCCCAACTGATTGTCATATTTTTCAGAGGGTTGAAACCACCAACCAGTTATACATGATTTATGTTTCAGCATATAGTGGGTTTAAACATGTTTAAACGGCGCCTAAATATATTTCAGGATTTGAAATGATTGTCATGTCTATCCTGGAATGAAGATCAACATGCATGGTCGGACCAAGGTGGCTTTATTAAACACCAGCCAGTTGGTGAGTAACCGCATCAACAAGTTGATATACGGTAACATATCATCGACATCTCCAAAAAGATAGAAAGATGTAGATCTAGTAGATCCCCATCAAAGTAACAAAGGTTCGTTACTTGTACAAGGCTTAAAAGGGCGTTACTATACGTCATCCTTGAAATTTTGTTGGTTCTGTTTTTTGGGGGAATGAACAACCAACTAAACTCTGAAAAAAGGGTACATTGTTTAGTGGTGAAGGACCTACGGCTGTCTACAACAAATCAGCGGCCCGAAGATGTACAAAATTCTCAGCTCAGGGGACTGCTCAGCAAATGCGTCGACGTGTAATATCACGCTATATAGGCAAGGGCGATGACATCAATTCATGCTCACCTCCGATCACAGAGGCATCGGCAGCGTATCGAGGCTTAGAGAAGACTGAAAGCGACATGGCACCTGACACGATTGTCGTGGAAACAGGGGTGATAGAATTGGAGCGCACAGTGGTGTAGAGTGGTCGATGGCACCATGCTGTAGCCAGAGGGTTCGGCAACTGCGAAACGTGAGCGAGCCTCAAGGGTCACAACGATGCCCTAGAAGTCAAACTGCTGTGGAAATGTGGTTTATTTTGCAATGTGTTTATTCGTTTCGTGCGCTGCCCCCTTAAAGATGGTTGTCGGCAATGATTCCCTTACATTTGCCAGTGTGATGTTCGAATGGAATGATGAACATGGAACCCGAACATGATCCGGTCCACGCGAGGCATTGTTGAAGGAGCGAGAGGCTGAGAAGGCCGGTGTAAAACGTCAAGCGTGTTCCGGTTGATTTTAAGGGATTTCATGGGCACCGTTTCACCCTCCGTTTGCACCCCTATAGAAATGGTGTTTTACCATGTTTTACACCCCATAATCTTGGTGCTACCATCTGATTATTTAACATAGCCATGGAATATCCCTCATAAATGGAGGTTTTAATGGGAAAATCATCTATATATATATAAAAATGGGCCTTTTTCCATGGCTATGTTAAATAACCACAGGCTACCATTTTTTGCGGTGGTTTGGTTTTTAGGTCGTGGAGGAGGAGCCGAACGCGCCAAGTCTGGTAACCTTTGGCAAGGCCGAACACCCGCGCTCCGTTCCGGGAGGAAGTCACGATTTGGACCAAGTCAAGTTTGTGTAAATCTGTATGTCCATCTGGTTTCACCATTGACATCAACTTATTACATTGATTTTGGACTATGCGTAGTGTTTGTTCAATGGATTTAAATGGAATGGTTCTTGTTCCTGATGATATATCCATATCTCTTTTCTCTTTTCGGTTCTTCTTGGTATTTTTTTGTGATTAAATTGGTCTCTGACATTTGGACTATATCAAACTTGTATTTCTTTTGCATCTGCTTAAGGGTGTCACCATGCTTTAGTTTCAACTCTTGGGGTGTTCCCAACAAAAACGATGAGATGTTTAAAATAACATCTTCAGGTAAATCTTTCAACATGTGACCCTCTACCATTTTCTACTTAGTATATATGTATATAAGGTGGCATTTCTTTTAGTAGTTTTTTGGGTGATCGTCGCCTGTTGGAATTTGTGGGATTGGGGTTGGAGTTCAACGTTTCAACAGTGGGATTGTTTGCTCATACATCTCTTGGTTTGACGGTGTTTTGACAGATTGGATTTACTGCTGATGGTCCGTCCGCAGTCTGGGCATTGGAAGAGTTTTGATAGTTTCCTTTGATAGTATTTCGAACAATAGTCTGGGTCTAAAGTCTAAAGGTTTCTTGTCATAACTTCCATCGGGTTTCCAACGAGTGTGTGTTGTTGGTTGGCGAGTTGTGGGGGTTGTGGGATTGGTGGAGTGCTTCAACCATTTCGTCAAAGATGTCTTCGTCCATTTCTTGCTTCATTCCAGCGATTACCACATAGCAGGGCATAGTTAATTCTTGATTATACAAGGTAGTATTTTTCTAAGTGTCTTTGGGTTGTCAGTTTAGTTTTTGGGTTTGCTTCAGAAACTCGGGGTTTGAAGTAGAGTTCACGCTGGACGCCCGGGTAAGTGTTGTGTGACAACTTCATTGGAATGAGTTTGACCTATAATTCTCAGCACATGATTGCCTAAATGACAAGTCGATACACATGTTTGCAGACAGGGTTGCTCAAAATGCAAGTGCCACAAGGGGAAGCAGTTTCTATTTCTTTTTTGGGTTTCCGCAGAAAACCCAATGCAGTGAGCAAACCATAGATGAGCGTTTTCATTCCATTCAGCACTGATGCCTTCAGCAACCTGCCTTAGCAGTGTGCCATGACTCGAAGTGCAAAGAAACCGTGCCTCTGGTTCGTAATTCTGACTTTGCTGACCTTTGTGGGCTGGGCTCCCGCGGACTTTGTGAAGCATGCGACCACACATCGCCGAGTGGCCGTCAGGCTCGCCGCTGCAGGTGAAACGTGGTGGTGTCAAGGTGGTGGCACAGATGGGAAGCTGAAAGACTCTTTTGAAGAGAACATGCAAGTGGATCGATGGCGTGCCCTTGCTGAAGGACTATGACACATACCAGGCATCCTTACCTGTGAGAGAGCTTCGAAATGGTAGTCTGCTAACGTTGTATCAGCTGCCCTTCTATGCTAGGATCACCGACTTGAACAGTTTTGCTGAAAGGATGAGCAGTGAACTGGGAATGCGCGCCTCTGTTGATTATATCACAGCGGCTTCCCATTCTGGTAAGTCGGCATCGGTGTTGGTGGGTTTCCTGCGTTCCACAGAGCTATACTGGGGATGATGCACGATTGAATTTCACACATTACCTATACATGCCGCTTGCCAACAGCGGCGAAAGTTATCATAGAAGAGTGAGCGAAGCCAAGCTGCAGAGAGCATGTGGACAAGATGATGAGTTGTGCACAGGCTTGGGTGCGGCTTACATGAGGGATTGCTTCAGAGCACAAACCTTTGACAGTGTCTATGTTGACGAGTGGCACTTGCCGAATGCCACGACTCTGCCAAAGTCGCAGAGATGCAGACTGCCACTCTCTATTACGCCGAGGGGAACCATCCGTGTGCCGATATTTTCTTCAAGGATGACGCTGGTGCTTTGTACCTGGCTGACGTGGGTGCATGGCACTGGCAACATGTCGAAGGCGCTGAACAAGGTGCAGAAAATCAGTGATGTTCTCGTCAAGGAAGGTTTGCGTGAGGACTTGCAAGTGAGTAAATTAAGAGGTGTCGTCCTGCTACCAAATATTGTGAGTATCAGCTTGGAAAATGAAGGAATCATCTCAGAAGCCATCACCGTCACAGGGGCAAGGGCCAGAGAGCTGCTTGGGGGTCTCGTCCAACTGCTTGCTTGGCTGGCAGCGGTTTGAAGCCCGGAGCTGGCGAACCTAACCAGAGTTGAGGCAAGGAGCAGCGCCAGTGAAAAGGAAGCAGTGCAATCCGCTACAACTAAACATTTCGCGATAAAGACATGATAAAACATTGTGGTAGGTTTATTGTGTCATTGCTGTCTTTGGTAGTGGGAGTGAGGATGACGAATGGGAAAGAAAACAGATGGGAAAAGAAGACGAAGAGCTTTATAGAGAGTTTGCAAGGTGTCATCCTATGCCATCACCAGACGATGAAGCCATTGACAGATTAGAAAACAGCGAGGGAGCAAATGGAATGATAATATATTCATTTGTAAGATTTGAAAGAATGAAAAAATGTATTGGACTGGGTTTTCATACAATTTAGATCAAGTTAGTGACTTAGTGGATCTTCATTGAATGGGTTTTACTGACTATAAATGTATGTTAGTGGATTGACTGGGTTCAACTGAATAGAATTTCTGGTGATCTTAATCCGAAACTATGTGATATTGACCGGCCCCCAAGATAGCTAAGGTTGTATAGATAATTAGGATAGCAAGGGTTCTCCAGACAAACCCATAATATAGAATCATGTAGAGCAATGGTGCACAGCTACAACCGTTTACCAGATGTGAATGGTTACTATGCTGTAAATGAACCTATCTTCCTATAATTGGGGTTGTAACTGACTTATAACTCGTAAAGGGCCATAACTGTAGAACTGGTGGTGTTTGGCGAAAACAAACGGATCTATGTTCCCAAGTCCTGTAGCCTGGCGAATCCCCTGACAGGTTTATGAAACCCTCATTTTTGGGTGAACTATGAGTATATTATATGAGTATATGTCAATGTACAAACTCAGATTTTAAAACTTGCAAACCCTGATTTTTTTTGTTGGTTGAGATCCTTAGTTTTTGTGTTGGTGAAATCCCACTTTTGATGCTTTTAATAAAGTATATATGATCCCCATCATCCCCATTACCATCACCACTTCTAAATCGTCACGTTATCATGGTTAAATCACCAGTCCCCAACCCTTCCTGAGAAGGTCCTGTAGCCTGAGAATCATACTTCAGACGCACTTCCTGAGAAGGTACCGACATGTACCGGCTGGATCCATAGGGTATATCTGAAAATATGCTGTATAGTTATACCCGACCCCACGATGGCTATTTTCATGGAGATATGATAAGTAAGCCAGTGGATGGAGAGGTATCTTAGTTCTGGGCCAACCTTGCTTAGATACAAACTATATAGTCCTATTTGTTTTTTGCTATGCTTAAATTAGTCCTAACCATTTTTTTTTGGCAGGTATCTAAGATTCACCATGGAAATCCGATGTCAAGACCCCCTTCGCTTCGCTTCAGGGCCTTCCGACGGGCAGCGCGGCCACTGGACAGGCTGGGGATTGGGGTTTCAAGCCCTTACCCTCAGGTAATCAAACATGGCTAGATGGAAAATGACCCTTTGATAATATGATGATGATGATGATGATGATGTTGATGATTGGTGTTTGATGATGATGATAGATGATTGGTGATAGATGATAGGTGATAGATGATGACCGTTGATGACCTATGATGACAGATCATTTTCCCATTGAAAAAACACTTAATTAAGATAGGATTGTTCAAACGGTACATCATCTAACTAAAGGGGCCATCTATACCATGTAGCAAACTGTGGATTGAACTGTGGCTATAAAAGCCACCAAGTAAACGTATGATTTCCCCAGCTAGAAGTCACATTGTTTTTTTCATCATACATATATATATATATATACACATATTTAATTATCCACAGCAAACGGTTGCTTTCCTGGAGGGTGCCACATACATATTCCATGAACTAGAGGTATCATCATATTATAACGGTGACTACTTCTAAACACACATACCATAAATAGACATGTCATAGAAATAGAACATACCCAACAATGTTGTTTTTGCAATGTCATAAGTTGCCCATATGGATTGACGGTTATACGACCCATAGAAATGGTAAAATTGGGGGTGGTTTCCTATTGCCAACATTATTGGGTATGCTCTATTTCTAGTTCTGGTAAATTATAATGATGATATGTTCAATGGATTGGTTTGAAGGAAAATCTAAACCGGAAACCATTGATTTTCCCAGTAAATATGGGGGGGTTCCTGTAAGTTTTCCTTTAAACCAATCCATTGACATGTCCATTTCTAGGGTTTACCAATAGTTCCCGATATAAAATTATCAATCCCCAAAATGGAAAGGAACTATATCAATCGTTATTTACTATATAACTATATCCATTCATGTTGTACCAATAGTTCCTTTCCATATAGAGCCACCATCCTCCCGCGAGGCACCGGCATGCGTTGCGCGTGCTGCGCCAGCCGTTCCGCCAGGGAGCCCGGAGCTCTGGCGTGCGGCCCGGGAGCCTGGTGAACGCTCAGGGGAACTCAGCGGAGATCAGAAAGGGATGGGAAATGATTTAGATAAATATCAGTTATATCAAATAGTTATCATTATAGTTATACCAATAGTTATCATCAACGGAGATTTATCAAATAGTTATCATTATATCAATAGTTATCATTATATCAATAGTTTTCATTATGTATCTAATAAGGGCTTATTAATCAATCAATAATTATTAGATATCAATAATCATTATAATCATGTAGTTATCAATAACATTTATCAGTATAGTGATTATAATGGATGGATCAAATAATGATTAATGATCTATAATGGATGGATCAAATATCAGTAGTTATCATTATCAATCAATAATCATTTGTTATCAATAACAGTTATAATCATGATCAACAATCCCTTATAGATCATTATATCTATTTAGAAGTATATTTTTTAGATAACATTAGTTAACCATTAGTAACCATCAATTAACCGTTAGTAGTGTAATCAATGATCAATAGTTAGAGATCAATCCGCTGAATCAATATTTACCATTGATGGATTATAGATCAATGATCAGTAGTTATCTAAATAGATACATCTCAATCATTGATCTAAAATATATCTATTAAATATACGTATTGATTTTTATAGATCAATGATTTAGTTGATATTTTCAAGTATATATTATATATATAGTGGGTGTTAATGGGTTTTGTATAACCAACTATCTTTATATAGTGGGTTATTTAAGTCATGGGGGATCTCCAAGTCATGAGATTTTTACTGGATTTAATGGAATTTAATGACAGTACAAAAGTGCAATGGGACTATAAATGGAGGTACCTTAAGTCGGGGGGCATCCCCAGTCGTCACCCTGGGTTTCAATACTAAGTCATGGTCATTCTTGACGACTGGATGATTTGGGGGACCCTGCAATTTCGGGAAACCTTCATCAAAGCGATGGATTATTTAACCGAGAAAAACAATGCCATTATAGAAACATGTGAGGAGGGATATGATTTAATGGGATATGTGGAGGCTTTATCCTACAAAAACTGAAGTTGTGTTTCGTGGTTGGATGATTGGATGGAAAAGCAACCTTTGAAGTGCAATGTTTTTTAAGCGTAAACTTCAGAAACAGAAGCTGCTTTGGAATGGGGATGGGGGGAAAGGGGGGAGATGGAGGATCAACTTTTGAAATCGGAACAATGGTAACTGTAATTTTTGATCATGGGATTTTGCCCAATCGAAAATTATTTCCCTAATGGATGGAAGATGAATATGTTGATATCATGTATGGATATACTTCCCTAATTCTATGATAACTAGATGGCATAATCAAAACAGAACGCTGCTGTGAACAGCACTCCTTGGATGTCGAAATGACAGAAATGACAGAAATGACGAATAGCCATGGCCATCTTACAGAGGCCTTCCCCAGAGACCCCATGATCCCGAGAACTGCAGAGATTTACCCCCCAGACCTCGGACATTATGAGTTTGTCCCCCAGATAGGTGTGTGTGTGTGTGTCAGTGTTTGTGTGCTTGTGTGGTATGGATGGCCGTGATTTTCCATGTGAAATAACAGCTGATGAAATGTCCTAACAGTCAAGAATATTACAAGCATCTGCTTATTGGTGGTGATTCTGTTGGTGTTCTTGCAGAGGGAATGTTTCCCTGCGCACTCCAAGTCAGAAGTGGTATTTGTATGTTTTGTCGCCACAGTTACAGGAGCTAAATGCCAACTCATAATATATGGGATAATCCTTCCCATTGACTTTCATAATTTTCAACATGGTTAAAACCACCAACCAGCATGATGATTATATTCCTGGTACCCCAAAAAGTCACCGCAACTGTCACAGGAATGGGGTTAACCAAGTAGTAGGTTGGTTCAGTTGATCTCATCGAACGAAAAACATTGTTTTTTTTCGCATTTTCGCATGTGGTACAGGATGGTGCCCCCCAGTTATAAGATGTTATAAGTTGGCTTATAAACACCATTAACTAATATTAACTATGGTTATATCTACCATATACCATAGAATTCAGCCACTGAAATAAGGCAACTCAACGCTATCGACTGGGGGCCCCATCCTGTACTGGTAAGTGCTGTGTGTCCGAAACCGGGTGCAACGCTGTGACGAGGTGCATGTGGGCGATGAACATGTCGTGGCGCGGCTGATTCAGCAAGGCTTGTGCAATGGTGCGGGCACCAAAATCGCGGACTGCAATTCGTTGGGTGATGCGGGGGTGATTTCCATAAATGATGGATCCCCAAAATGGATGGTTTATAATGGAAAATCCTATCCCCAATAATTGGGTGATGCGAAAATTGAGGATATGTAATATCCCCTACAAAACCTTTTCAGTCTCGCAGTCTGGCACCTTTGCTGACTTGAACATAGCTGCTCAAAAGTCTTTTGGGCAAAATTTCCTGAGACTTGTTACACCTGAAGGGCGTCTTTTGGATCCAGCAGACTCTCTTCGCTTTTCTGGGTTGAACAATGGGGACACCTTTGCTGCTGTAGCACAACAGCCAAAGGTAGCTGCAACATCCTCTGCGTTTGTTTTGTTGTGTGTTGGAGGTGATAGAATTGTCACTTGGGGCCATAGAGACCATGGTGGTGACATCTCAAGAGTCCAAGATCAGCTGAGGAATGTGCAGCAGATTTGTGGCGCAGCAGATGCTTTTGCTGCAATTTTGGCAGAACGGTCTGTGATGACCTGGGGTGATCAAGACAGTGGCGGTGACAGCTCTGAAGTTTCAGACCGGCTCAGGAATGTGCAGCAGATTTGTGGCACATGCTCTGCTTTTGCTGCAATTCTGGCAGATGAAACCGTGGTGACTTGGGGTCATTTAGACTATGGTGGTGACAGCTCCGAAGTCCAAGATCAGCTGAGGAGTGTGCAGCAGATCTGTGGCACAGCACATGCTTTTGCTGCCATTTTGGCAGATGGAAGTGTGGTGACTTGGGGTCATCCAGACTATGGTGGTGACAGCTCCGAGGTCCAAGATCAGCTGAGTAATGTTCAGGAGATTTTCCGCACAGAATTTGCTTTTGCTGTAATTTTGGCAGATGAAACCGTGGTGACTTGGGGTCATCCAGACTACGGTGGTGACAGCTCAAGAGGCCAAGGTCAGCTGAGGAATGTGAAGCAGATCTGTGGCACAGAGCATGCTTTTGCTGCAATCCTGGCAGATGAAACCGTGGTGACTTGGGGTCATCCAAGCTATGGTGGTGACAGCTCCGAAGTCCAAGATCAGCTGAGGAATGTTCAGCAAATTTGTCGCACTGCATTTGCCTTTGCTGCAATTTTGCCAGATGAAAGCGTGGTGACTCGGGGTCATCCACACTATGGTGGTGACAGCTCCGAGGTCCAAGATCAGCTGACTAATGTTCAGGGGATTTTCCGCGCAGAATTTGCTTTTGGTGTAATTTTGGCAGATGAAACCGTGGTGACTTGGGGTCATCCAGACTATGGTGGTGACATCTCAAGAGTCCAAGATCAGCATGTTCAGGAGATTTTCCGCACAGAATTTGCTTTTGCTGCCATTTTGGCAGATGGAAGCGTGGTGACTTGGGGCGATCAAGGCAAAGGCGGCGCTCCAGAGTCCAAGGTCAGCTCATGTGCATCGAACGGATCTAGACGCGTGACGCGTGTCAGTGAGTCAGGGCAAAAGTAAAAATGGCAGCTTGGTCCAGCTTATTTGTATGTGTCTCGCGCATCCGTCAGATCCTCATGCTGGTTGATCATCAGTTTTGGAGCTGCCGAGCAGGCTGTATCTGGTCATTCTTTGGCGTATCTGCAATCTCACTTTTTCAGGTTCCATATATTATCGGACTACTTCCATCCTCCCAAAATTCAATGTACCCAATGTTGGGGGCCCAAAAATGAATATATCATAATATATCCAATAACTTAATGTTAGTAAAATATATAGCAACCCATCCCCAAATTGTCCATTTCGATGGGTGATATATGGTGGTATAATGATGTATAATGTTTCATCAGCATGTTGACAAATCATCTTAAATGGGCCAGGGTGCGTGGCTTCCATTGCAAACTCTTACATTACCAGAGGGTAAATCTCATTTGATTCCCATGAAATCCCATCAAAAGTCCCAGTGCATAATATATATATATATATTATCACTATGTATATATATAACTATTATAGACTATATATATAACTATGTATATATATATATATATTTATTTATAATAAAGTAACTATGTATGTATATATATATAACGATATATATATAACTATGTATACTTGTATATATTTTTGTAGCTATGTAAATAACAATGTAAATATATATTATGTATATAAATATGTATATATATATGTGAAACTATGTATATATATATAACTATGTATATATAACTATATATATAACTATATATATATCACTATGTATATATATATATATATATATATACCACTATGTATATATATATATATAAAATAACTATGTACATATGTATACATATGTATGTATGTATGTATGTATGTATGTATATATATATATCAGCTATTTTACTTCCATTCTTTTACAGCACATCATGGGTAATCCATCCAAAAAAAGGTTCCCATTGGAACATCGCCCGCCATGGCGAGGCCTGCAGAAAGACGCCTCCGGGCATTCGGTGCTGTGGCACGCCATCGCCTTTGGACATTGGGGTCGCGGGAACCCGGTGCTGAAGACGGTCCCAGATGGAGACGGAGAGCGATCCCCAAGAAATCATGAAGATATTGGCCGAACTATGATTTCCTGGCAATATTTTTTTTGCATTTATCATCCCAAATCATTTGCATTTCACCCCAAATCTATTGCCAATCTGTTGGTAAATGGCGGTCATATGATGTCATTATGTCACTTTGATTGGTCCAGACTTGGATCATGATTCGTAAGATTTGTATGTGTCATGGAGGTTTCCGAAAATTTCAAAGGGTATCCCAAACTCATTGGTTTGAATACTTAAATGGGCTAATTTATGGATTATTTGGGGTACGACTATTTGAGGACACCAAATAGCTCGGGCTGGGGTACCCTCTGGTAAATGAACAGTTCGACCCTGAGAATAATCAATGTTTAACGGGAACTAATTTTCGAACCCCTGGCAGGGTCTATATGAATTTACTGGAGGGTAACTACTATGGTTATCAGAACAAATAGTCCAGACTTGGATTCAAACTCGGCAAAATCAAGTGTTTAGAACCCAAGTCCGATTTTTGATGATTCATAGTAATCACCATTTGTTGTGATAACCACGGTATACCAACATATTATTTATTATCATGAACATTATTATTATCGTTCTTCTCGTCACCATTTCGATGATTCTGTCCAGATTCATATGGTCAAAAACCGCCAAATCAACTTGTTAAAACAAAATCCAGATTTAAATGAATTATCAGTATTTATAGTAAGTCCAGGATCAACAAAAACATTGTTTCGAACCCAATTCATCGAAGAATCCCCCGACAAAAAAAAACATATCCAATAATTTGGCCTCTAACCATCTGAAAACCTATTTTCCAGCTAACAACGAATGCAGGGTTTATCAGGGCTATCTAAGATTGGCCATATTGTAAGAAATAGTTATATATTATATCATGTGTATATATACACGTCCATGGGTGATATTTCGGTGAGAAAATGTTACGGGAAACCACAGATGTTCCTCACATTTAGTGTTCATGATGCATTTTGGGGACCCAATTTTGACTCATACAGATGTATTTTTGACTCATATCATGATATATCACCTATTGTTCCCTGACTGACTGTTGTGCATTGTCGAAACACGGTGGTCATATTGATTGGCACGGTTGAAGTGTATGGGGATGAGTTCACCTCCAAGGTTCGTGGATGACAGGGTACCCTGAAATCTGGTGAATCCACGGTTTGTTCCCGTCTTTTGAATTATGACTTTACGGTAAAAAAAACACCATTTTCAGTGAGAAACACTGAAACATCCATATGTCATGGTGATATCTCCCATTCTTTTACACTATAGATACCTATAGAATGTAGCACTTTACTGTAGTTTCTTGCACCATATCCAACTCCAAAGAAATGGCTGGTCAATCCCCATGATATGCAGTATACCCTTTGGTAAACATACCAACATAACGATGGAAAATAACCATTTTTCATGGGACAATTCACTATAAATTGTGATTTCCCATAGTTATTAATGGGTAAACCAACGAACTTTCTATGACCATTTTCAGTAGCAATGTTTGTTTGTTTACTAGAGGGTATATCCATTGATTCCTAATATCCATTGATTCCTGATAGCCTGTGCTTGGTAAATGTTTCTTTTGCCCATGGATTTAAGCGTTAAAAAAGGGCCACGAGCGTCATCCGCTGGGCGCAAAAAACGAACAGTTTCCGACGTCAGGTCTCGCCCGAATGATGTTGGAGAGATTTCCGCCAGCTTCACAGGCGAAAGCCGCCGTCGGTACACGCGGTGTGTGTTTGCTGGGATATGATAGGAATAGGGAGATAACGAACCATAATGGGGCTATAATATCTACATTATGTGTATTTATACATATGATATATGTATATTGTTACACACGGTGTGTGTTTGCTGGTGATAAGGAGATGACGAACCAGAATGGGGCTATAATATCTACATTATGTAGATATAGATATGTATATATATATATATATGTATAGATATGTATATATATATATACGTATATGATATATATATATATAGTTAGATAGATAAGAAGATATCTATCAGGTAAATTAGAACGAACTCAGTGTTCTCCCCCACTGGAATGATATTTGTAGGTGCAACTATCTCAACATATTCTTATTTCAGGTTAGTGAACTACCCATATATATATATAACGTCATGATTGATATACTGTAAGGGGCATAGACTGGGATGTACAACCAACTTGATATTATGTTCGGGTCTTGAACATGGCGGATTTTACCATATATGGACCTTATGGATGGAATTCTGGTCGATATCAGGCTCATGTCAATCACGGGCCATCGATATGGAACCGATTGAGGACGGAGGTACCGATTCCATATATGTTTGGCCTATTTTGTAGGCCTATGTAAGGGAATATCCCCACAAAATATGGCCTTGTATGGTACAGTACCTCCATTTTAGGATCCTGAAATTCCAATTGAGTCAATAGACACTCCACATTCTTGGATGACCAAGAGATACCAAGAGTTAGTGATCTACGACTCAGCAGGATTCATCGCGATGAGTTTTTCTGCATTTCAATTGACACAACCTCCAACGACAATATATGTTGCACATTGTATACGTTAAGATCACCAAGGGTACATAAGCAAGTTAAGAAGCAGAATCTGCAGAATGCTCTATCCTTTTGTGATATGGATGCTTGTTTGTTGTAGATCAATCAGACATCCTCAGCTCGTGCCCGCTCTTTTGAAGATCAAACTCTTTACTCAAATTCAACATGAAGTCACAACAAGACACGACTCAGAACAAGACGTGCTTGCGTCGAGATTACAGCTCCCTGATTTTTTTCCGACAATTGTGTTTCCTGTTTCCTTGAACTAGGGTTTCTGGCCCCCGTTTTGCAGGTGCAACCCATGCTGGGCTGATCCATGGTAATTCAGTGCAGGCCCAGATTCTGGAAATCAAAACATCAAGGGGAGGGAACCCAAAAAAGCAAGCAAGCGTCCGAAACATTCGCAGAACACCTGGAAAAGCACCAGTGGGTTGCCCATCTCGGTGGGGAAAAAATGGTGGATTTGCACCATGCGATTCCGCCACCTCGGTGCAGCTTGAGCATGGCTGACCCAGTTTGGCTTTGCTGAGGACAGAGCCTGCGGCTGCCGGATTCAGGTCAGGTCTCAATGTGTGGAAGATCCCCAATATATCAAAATGAGTGACCGAAATTCATGGCCTATGTCAATGTCGATCATTTTTTTAGGTAAAGTCTTTATCCCCTTGATAGGAAATGATGAGATAGGAGCTTTACCCATCAAAGTTCCTTTGAAATCCTACCAGTTGATAGGTAAAGTTCCTATTGTAGGAGAGCCCGGATCTTCTCCGGGCTCATTCGACCTGGTCTATTTCGATTCTGTCCCAGTGTGTGATTTGACCAGGACCAATGGAGATGGATGAGGATGATGAGGTTGGCATCAGAGTGTGGAAACAGAAACAGGCTTTCACCAGAATGAAATGGGAATATGACCCAATAATACCCAATATATCCCAATATATCATATATTAAGATAGATAGATAGATAGATAGAATAGAATAGATTAGAATAGATTAGATTAGATTAGATTACATCAGATTAGGTTAGGTTGGATTAGATTAGATAAATTAGAAAGATTAGATAGATTATATAGATTAGATAGATTAGATCCATTAGATCGATTAGATAGGTTAGATAGGTTGGATAGGTTAGATAGGTTAGATAGGTTAGATACCTGGTAGGTTAGATAGGTTAGATAGGTTAGATAGGTTCGATAGGTTCGATAGGTTAGATAGATTAGATTGATTAGATAGATCAGATCGATTTGATAGTGATAGGATAGATTAGATTAGATTATATTAGATTCGTAATCAGATTAGATATATTAGATAGATTTGATTAGATTAGGTTAGATTAGATTAGATGGATAGATAGATAGATAGAGAGAGAGAGAGAGATCGAGATAGAGATAGAGATAGAGAGATAGAGAGGTAGAGAGGTAGAGAGATAGAGAAATAGAGAGAGAGAGAGGGAGAGCTACAGAGATAGATAAATAGAGAGATAGAGAGATAGAGATGTAGACATATAGATGATATAAAATGATACAAAATGATAATGATATAGAATCCTATAGAATCATTGAAAATCATATAGAATCCTTTAGAATCATATTGAAACATATATAATCATATAGAATTACTTCGATTCATTTAGAATCATATATTTAGAATCATATATATATATATATTATAGAATTATATAGATCTAGATTGCATCATTGTATTATTTGCTTTGGTTTTTAATCAGTGTTGTATTTCAAAAAGAGAGGAGAACGAGAGACCAGTGACCACATTTTCTGCTGGTTCTAGCTGCAAAAAGAATCGGACATCCCAAAGCATTGTTGGGAGCGTCTGCCCTGTGTTCTTCATACACAAATGAAACATACCAAAACACCTCCCAGTGCATATTAAAAACATGGCTTCCATGATCCTGAGGCTAGGCGCTGGGAGCCTGCCATTTCTCCATTGGATATTGCCCCCTATGGATGGCTTGCAACTTGAACCATGGAATTGTTGCGGGCCATTTATCGATTTTTAGGATGATTCACCCACTAAAAATCGTCATTTTCCAGGGAGCCTCGATCCCGAGTTTGGAATCCATCGTAAGGCCGGGACCGCGCCGAAAACAGCCGTGCCTTCTTAAGTACGACTGGGTGACTGACTAAAGTAAAAACATAGAAAAAACATAATATAATATAATATAATATATATATAAACTCAAGTTATAGTGCTATACGTTGATTGTTTATACATTTTTTTAACCACCCATTTATGGGTTACTACCTTCTGGTTATTTAACATAGCTATGGAAAGTCATGATTCTTCGGAAAATATCGGTAAATCATCCACAGATGGACCATTTTTCATAGGATGAACTATATTGATAACCATTTTGCATAGGATGAACTATATTTCTAACCTATAATAATATCAAAGATCCGTAGATGTTAAACAACCAAAGGGTAACATGAACTTTTTCCAAAGTTTTTCTGAATCTCTGGGCAGGGACTTGGATCGTTTGGACAATGAAGATGCCAAGGCCGCCGGCAAAGGACCGCAGCTTAAGGATGCTGAGGGACCAATTTCCGCTGCGGAATGTATGGCTATTATGTTTGGCTAAGAATAGGGAAAATTATAAATATATGTTACCATATAGCTAACCCCCCCCGAAACCTACCGGTTTTGATTGTTTATTGTGTTTTACAGTGATTTTGTTTGTTTTGCCTTCAAAAGCAACCAGCATTTTTTCCTTCATTTGAAGACTTTGGACATATATATATATATATATAAATACACAATGTGATATTTAAATACAAGTTTTAAAATAATATAATATGATATAATATAATATGATTTGATATGAAATGACATGATATGTAATATCATATGATATATCATATGATATGATATATGATATGATATGATATATAATATGATATGATATATGAAATAATATGATATGTGTAATTTGATATGTTATTTAATTTACTATAATATAATATGATATGATATAATATAATATGATATAATATTATATTACATTATATTATATTATATTTTATAATATTATATTATATTTTATTTTATTTTATTATATTTAATATAATATATGTGTGAACTTGAGGTTTTAGAGAATCTGGAGTTTGTTTTTTTTGGTGGACAAAGTCACATGTTCGTGGTGATGTTTGCTCATATATGTCTTTTGGTCACATGAGAATTTGCAGCTCTAAGCTTGTTTGGGCTTTGTTTATGTAGTGAGATGATTCTGCGAGATAGGATGAATGAGTAGTAACTTGAATATATCACATGTACTAGATAGATACAATTAATCTTGAATTCTATGGGTCTCTGCATTTCCAAATGGACACATCCTCCAGGACGGGTCCGAGCCGAAGCTTCGCTGGTGCTCAGCTCCAACCCGCAGTTGCGGAGGCGCGGTGTTAAACGACATGTCAAGAAACGATGAAAAACGACCCACTACCTAGCGAACCTAGAACCTAACAGTTTGAAGTTTTTTTTTTCAAAAACCAAGTTTTTTTCTCCACAACATAGGTTCTTGGTTCTACTGGTAGATTCCATTTTTGCATCCACAAGCCATTTACATCCATTTACAGATTTGAATTGAGTAGTTAAGAGGCCGTCCTTGGGATTATCCCATCAACCCTTTTTATTAATCATAGTTAATCTAGTTATTCTACTTATAAACCTTAACTTAGCAAACACCGAATCTTGTAACATGTCATATTCAATTGGTCATAATTGGTTATATATCTGTTATATATATATATAACCACCATATTGTTATATATTGGTTATATATATATATAATATAATATATATATATATATGATCCACCCCATGATATCCCTGTGACATCCATTGATGCCAGGCAGCCGGGCTCCAAAGGCTCCAAAGGTACAGCTTTTCCGGTTACAGCTCCGCCTAGAGGCGCTCCGACGGTCCCAACATTCCTAGGTCAACCTTGGATGGGTAGAAACTACCCCCTGGTAAATTAACAGTTGGACCCTGAGATTTTCACCAATTTTTAATGGAAACTAGTCTTCCAACCCCGATGACTGCCAGGGTCGAACTGTTAATTTACCAGAGGGTAATCCTGTAGAAACTCCATTTCAAGCATTTTTCTTAATCCACTGGTTAATCCCACCAGTGGATATGCCTTTGAACTAGGGAAAATGAATGGGAAAATGATGATCTCATCTGGTTGGTGCTTTGGAACATGACTTTTATTTTCCATTTCATATATGGGATGTCATCCTTCCCATTGACGAACTCATATTTTTCAGAGGGGTAGGTATACCACCAACCAGTAATCCTTTAGTCTTTTGCTATCAATGGGATTATCTACTAACCAGCTAAGAATCTATTTTTTGCAGGGTATCTGTATCTAATTCTAAGAATACCTGAAAAGAAACATCCTGAATCATTCCTTAAATTGCCACAGACTCCTCTGATTCACTTGTTTTTGGCAAAATCATGTAAACTCAATCCTTCTGACCAGGTGGCAAGGGTCGCACCGCAAAGAAGGAAGGTGCGCCAATTTCTTACTTCTTGTTGGGTGGTTTGACCCCAGCTTTTCTGGGCTTTGCGAATGCAGAAACAGCTTGCAGGGGGCGTTTTCGCTGGACTCTTTCGAGAGGCTGGAAACAGGGGAGAGATTGAAGGTGTCAAGGGGTGGGGAGGGAGAGAGAGAGAGAGAGAGAGAAAGAACACGATCTCTTTTCCCTGGTATTGAAAAACCGCTCACATGGGCCATCGAGGAAAGCCAGAATTTCTAGGAACCTTTTCAATATCACGACCGGATTCTTATCATTTATTAGTTAGCTAAAATAATGTTAAAATAATGCTAAAAGTAGATTACCTACAATGTGAGGCCCCCAAGATAGCTAAGTTGGTTTATAACTCCAATAACTATGGTTTATGGTAGTTATAACTATAGTTGCTGGGGCTTATAACCAACTTATAATTTGTTGATTGGACGTTTGGAGACCGGTCTCCAAAGTCGCCGAATGACATGCCTTGACCCTCACCGTGTTCGTGGGGCTCGCGAGACACCACCAGTTATACAAACGAACTGAACGACATGACCGCATGAACTGAACGGAGACTATAGTCTTATATATACTTAATGACTTAATGCTATAGCTCATCTATAGTTCAACCAACTTGCTGATCCCATTTGGTTGCTGGTTTGGAACATCAATTTTATTTTTCCATATATTGGGAATTTCATCATCCCAACTGACTTTCATATTTTTCAGAGGGGTTCAAACCACCAAACAGTCATAGTTAACTTATAGTTAGCTCAAGCAACTCGCTGCTCTTTGCGCCAGCAAGGAGACTTTGGAGTCTGAGCCCAGCGTTGAGGCCTGGATGCAGGGCCTGAACCATCTTTGTTTGAAAAGAAAGACATGGAGAAAGGAGAAAGTCATCGAAATTTGTTGCTACTTGCTGCTAAGATATCTGAGATATCAATAAATTCTACAGATATCAGGTTTCAGCAAAGTCTTCCATTCTTTGCAACATTTGGAGATAGGCAGCCTCTTGGCTGTATCTTCCCAGCTGGTAAGAGCCATTGTTTCCTCGGCGCAGCAGGTCCCCCGGCAATTCGCAGTGTCGAAGGCCGAGGTGGAAGAGGTTCGATGGTTTACCTGTGTAAAAAGCGGCGATTTTCCGTAGCTATATTATATTTTAAGTTACCACAAGGTCATGAACTTTAGTATCAAAAAAAATGATTTGAATATCAATCAAATGAGGTGTTTTTTCTGTTCAACAAAAGATACATGTCAGCAGCAAAGATGGGGAGTTGAGCAACAAGAAATGAAATTAGAAAAACTAGGGGTAAGCTGCAAAGGACATCGGATTTTACGGTAAATGAATTGAAGTTGGTATTTCACCAAGAACACTTTTGTTGTTGTTGTTGTAGCAATAAACACTGGGAAAACACCATGAACAACTGCAACAGCAGCGCATCACGATGCGCGAGGTGAAGCAAAGCTACGGTGCTGCAGCGACTGCAGCGCGCACAGCAGTTCCTGTTGCCCAAGCTGTGGCGCAGGTGCATCGGCACAGGAGCTGGGGTGATCTCCAGTCGTATTTGGAACATAATGGAACATCCCTATTCATGGGTTGTATCAACAGTATGTATGATACATGATCATATATGATATGTATGGGTGATAAACATTGATAAACCACTTATATATATACTATAACTGAGATGAAAACTGGGATGAACAAATCAAGTTGGCACTTCTAAGTGGAACACTAATATTTCTTGACCCACAGGTGACTTTCTACTGCGTGAGGTAAAGGTTCTCCACTCAAGAATGTCCAAGACTTGAATATATGATATAGTTGAACATATAGTATCATATGGTGGGGTTTCTACAGTAATGTTCTTGTGGCAAATACAGACACATGTTTTGAATCAGGTCACTTGCTGTAGAATAATAGAGAAAACCATAGTTAAAAGCCATTTATCTATGGGAAAACCATAGTTATAAGCCATTTATAGATGGTAATTCCTGGTTTCAAACCGGACACTGCAGGTGTCCCGTGCCAGCCCACTGAAACTGGGTGACGTAGCAAGACTTCAAGGCCTCGAAATCCATGTGGAGCGGAAGAGAAAATGAGACATGGCTGTGTCTGAAAATGGGGTCTACGGTATACTCAATGGGAATTTCAGGATCCTAAATTGGAGGTACGTTAGTACCATATAAGGGAATATCCCCACAAAATATGGCCTGAAAAATGGTACAGTACCTCCAATTTAGGATCCTGAAATTCCCACTGATATACCACTTTGCCATGGAAGCCTTGGCCCATAGAAATAGATGCTTCACCTATTAAAAATAATGATTTTCCATGGCGAACTGTTAGTCATAACCAGATGGTTTTTCGGTATACCTCGACTCTAAATGGCGAGGTTTTTCATAGGGAAAAAAACACGATCCGATGGATTCGGTCCACGATTTTCAGACCACTTCTCGGCTGCGGGAAAGATATATTCTTTACACGCCAACGTTTTGGGATTGCTAAAAATCAAGCTGTTACTCATGTCATATTTGTTGGCAATTTTATGTGTTGCATGCATTCATCATAAAAAGAACATGGAACATGTCTAGACAGTAATACATGTAAAGTGTCTATCTCACTATCCCATCACCTTACCTACCATAGTACCTAATCTTTGTAGGTAACAACTAACAACCAATAAATCATCCATGAGTCACTGGCTTGGTTCTATATGGTCTTCCCATTTTGGCAGAGTTTCGGGTCTCAACCATCGACAAAATCCTTGGAACTCCACAGTGTGGATGTATCAAAACCATTGAAAACACCACATCTTCAGGGATGAACATCCATAACCTTAAGCTATACCCCGTATGCTCCATGGTGCTGGAAAACAATTGCCAGCATTTTTTCCCCATAAATGGCCAAGTTTTGTAGGTAAATAAGCTATACAATACATGGAGCATATGGGTACATAGCTATACTGTATCTTGGGCACCATTGTACCAGCTTGACTTGACCGATAGCTTTCCCAGTATCGTCCCGCCAGGTTTGTCTGGCTTCCTGTCGCAGCTGAACGGACAGCTGTGCAAAGTGGAGGCTGGTGATGTCGGCCAGTTTGATGATAGGAATATTCAAGGAGAATAGTGAACATTACCGGGGGATTGATGGATGATGAATGGATGATTCATGGAATTTATCTGGGTAAATTTCAGCACGACCGAGCCCTGTTCTCCCGAAGCCTGGAATCATGTTTAGGATTTTAGGGGAATCATCCCAAAATGGCCCAACAAATCAGGTTAGTGAATTACTATATTTGGCCCAGAGGGATAATAGTTGCGATTAGCATTTTGGGAAAATGAATTTAAAGCAACCATGGTAGAAGCTAGGCAGTATAGTAATTTAGTGGGTATCATGGGTATTATATGTGCGTAACCAAACATTTTCGTGGATATTTGATAGGTGATATTTGATGGGGGATATGACCAAGCATATGGTATATAACCGTGGATTTGGCCATGAATAGTGGTGTGATGCAAGCGGGGTTGCTTCAGTTTTCCAGGAAAGCGGTTGTTTCAGGCAGGTTGTTTGTTTTGCAGTCGTTTAGCATCGCAGCTGGGAATTTTATCAACAATCATGAACTTTGACAAATGATGGCCAACCAAATATTGATGTAGCCAGCGATGAGAATGGTTCGTCATAACCAGAAAAACGATCAACAATCACAAGGAATGCAATTTGCGAAATAATATATATATAGTATTACGATGTATTACGATATAGTATTTACTCGTGCATCCGACAATAAAATACAAATTGTTTTTATCCTGGGCTGGGCATTTGTGACCTTCCACCAGAAAGATACTCTGTCCATAGTGATTTTCCATACCTTCTGAGGAAGTATGGCTGGGGTATCATTTGGGGTCAGCCTTATCTTCTCAGGATGCGACAATCCATGAGTGGATGTGACGTTCCAAGTGTGTTGATCATTTGATCATGATCTATTGGGAAACCATGACACTAATATACGTATATGTATACAGTAATTATTTATTCATGTTTTAAATACATTATAACTCTAATTTATAATTATAACCCAATACAAACCTACATAGATCCAAGCTCGGAAGGAACTTGGTAATGCTCTGGAGTACCTGACTCGGATCGCCGCAAGATGGCGGGCGAAAGTACACATGTCTTAATCTTATATACAATATATTAACTTAAACATCTAATATATATATAATATAATCATATATATTTATTTATAGAACTTGTAAGCCCATATATTCGTCCAAATCTCTCTTTTTTTCGAGGGGACGGGCATCGCAGGGCCTTGATGATGAGAACTGCTTCGTACGGCTGCCGGGCGGATTTCTGGAGGTGCCGAAAGAGCGCTTCGTCCGTGACGGCAAGGACGATATCTCTTGAATTTGACAAAGATGGTGGGAATACCATCATCCTATGATATATATAATTATATATATATACAAATAAATAAATATATATATATGTACATATGGGGTATGATTGTATGTAATCACCCAGGCGAATCCCTTTCTCAACCAAGCATGGGATGAGGGTTTTGAGCACTGCCTATGTGGAGAGTTGTTTTTGGGGATAGCTAAGGATGCCACATGTCAAAGCAGATTTATCTCAAATTGGATGATATCCCAATTCATCGCAATTTTAGTCAAGGGCATGAAAGTGACACGGTTTTGGATTGCCCAACTTTGATACCGTTAAATACCTTTATTTCCAAAGACAAGACATTTGTAGGTCGATGGGTACCTATTCTTTATGAGAGATACCCTTGTCATCGCCAGCAACTTCTCCAAGTTGAATCGGACAATGATTTTGGTGGTTGGTTGTTACCGTTTTGGCCGTAGAAGAGTGGAAACTTGGAAGCCGTGTAGATTTCGATGGGCCAGGGGACCCATGGGGACCCTTGTGTTTTGACCATGTGGATCCATATACAAAACCCATAGATTGAGATGTTCTTTTTTGCTGCTTCCCAAAGTATGTTTCTATGTTTTTTTAGTGGATCCTAAGAGATAGTTCAATGGATTGGTTCAAAATGGTTTACCCTCTGGTTATTTAACATAGCCATGGTATAGATGGCCCTAATCGAAATAGATGATTTTCCCAGCGAACGAAACCTCCATTTAGTTCAGGGATTTTCCATGGCTATGTTAGTCAGAACCAGATGGTAAATGGACAAGTTACAGCCCGGAAAGCCTCATATTTCCATGGGGATTTTTTCCCATCCATCCGCCAGACCGTCCCGCTGGCGAACGTGCTTCCGAAAAGCGAAGGAAAAAGCGGAGTGCTTCGAAAAATGTGGCGAAGGAAAGCAAGAGGAATCCAAGGGATTTTTGTATGGGAAATATGGGGATAATATGGTGTATTCATGGGGATAATATATGATCATATGAAAACACCATAAAATCTCTCCGCTGTAAAAGTGGAAAGTTGTGGAAATCTGTGACCCATGATGTTGATTGCTTGTTGCAAAGCATCCCGTTTGTTTCTCTCGTTTGTCGACCACCTTTGCTGTACAGGACGGTGTGGACGTGAACGAGGTCAACTGGGGTAGCCATGGTTCCGCAAACGTTGTCACGTTGTCAAAATGTCCAGTTGTCGGGGATTGATAATTTTGACTCAGATCGGATTATATATATATATATATTATATATATATACGCATGAACATATATCTGGTTTAGTCCCACTGTTTTGTTGCTAAAGTCTGCACGTTCTGCTATTGGTTTAAGTGTAAAACGCCACCGTCCTTTTTGTTTACCCACATGCTCCATCTACTGTGTATCCATCATTATCCATCTATATCCATCTATGCTCCATCTATATCTACCTACGGATATCTATGTTATATATACGTATTAATTAATTTGGATATATTTGGGCCATTTCTGTGGATACTCCACCTTTCCAGGAGTTTCAGTGCCTTTTCTAAAAAGTTGTGCCCACCCTACACACCCAGTCGTGCCCCCCAGTGATGTTTGTTGGTTCATCTTACTCTCGTTATTCGCTTTGCTGTATCATGACCATCAGCCATGGTAGTAGTAATTGTAGTTATTTCCATCTGGTTGGTGGTTTGGAACATTTTTATTTTTCCATATATTGGGAATCCCAACTGACTCATATTTTTCAGAGGGGTAGGTATACCAACCAGTCCATGAACCTCGCTAGCTCTGGAGCACCCGAGAAACACAGAGGTACATCATCGTAAAGGCGAGACCTTTCTACATCTTCTCTGCCAGTGTAGGCGGATCCCGAAGAGAGATGGGACATGACCTCGTTGAGTTGTTGTTGGTTGGCTACCCCAAAGATATCCCCAGTTACAAGATGTTATGATATGTTAGAATATGTTATATGAGCTATATAGTGTATATATAATATAGTACATATAATATCATGTAATATCATATAATATGATATAATATAATATAATATAACATACTATAGTACAATATAATATAATATAATACAATATAATATAATTTAATATAATATAATATAATATACTATCTCTACACAGAAGTGGATATCACCCAGTTTAGCTGGAGAAAACAACACATGGCAACTGGCTGAAATCATCTGCTCACTGCTGGGAGACCATCATCAGTAGATGGGCGATTGTCCTTGAGGATTGGGGTCCAAGGGCTGGGGAACATGAAGAATCACGAGGATTGAAGCCACAAAAGCTACACCCTGGTGCTTGGGGCCGAGGAAACATCCTGTGGATTCTGGTCAACATGGCAACTTTTATGAGTTTCCATTCAGTTGGGAAGAATCATCCCAACTGACGAACTCATATTTTTCAGAGGGGTAGGTATACCACCAACCAGGGCAACGCATACGGATTTCTGTTCAATCATGGGTCAAGTCAAACTCTTATGCATTCACATATATTCACATGGTCTCATGTATGTGAATTCATGTTTACCCATCAACCGTCCCCCAACTCACCATAAACAGTTGGTATAAATAATCCCCAATTCACATGGTAGGTTTTCTTATTGGGTTGCCGACATTGTATTAAACACATGTTCCACATTTCTTTGGCGAGTTTTCTTATCGAATCTTCCCTGTCGTAGTATACAGGCCCTTCTCGAGTGAGACCGCCACCATCTTCAAAGCGCTTGCTGAAGCAATGCCCCACGCGCTCTTTACAAAGGCGAACTAAATGGGTATATGCCCTATGGAATGGCACCATATTTTTTTGGGGGTAAGCATAACTCAATGGGACCATAAGCAGGAGCCAGCTTCATTGCAGTTCACGGGAGGTGTCCGAACTAGTGGACCATCGGTGAATGTTTGACCCATAACTAAGTGGAACTTGCGTCAGAGATTCGGGGTGGAGGTGAAATGATGAAACGGCGCCGTGAGTAGCGGGATGTGTTTGTGTTTCTTTGATTTGGTGAGAACGGTAGTAGGAATAGGTATAAAATGATATAATATATATATACAGAGAGAGAGAGAAAATAGATGATGAGTTATTAAAATATTTTAAACCTGAATTTTAGGAAGGGTAAACACAGTTCCATATATGTCTTTATCTTATTCAAGTTAAAAAATGATACTTGATCTTGCGTTTGCAAAATACATACACGTATATACATATTATATATATATGATATCCTATGTATGCATGCATATATGATAATAATATACATGTTTAATTAAGTTATATGTTTCAACTTGGCAATATCTTAATATTAATTGCAACAGTCTGAAATACAGGTATTGATCAAATTATCTAACATTACCAACATAGTTTGAACATGGGATGCGCTTTTGGCAGGTCAATATGGCCGGACAAAGTTTCCTGGCCTTCGCTGCAGCCACACAAAATTTCTGGGTCCGGTGTGCCCGGTCCGGGACGAGGAGCAAAGTCATGGTTCAGAATGGGAAGTTTAACGTGACTATAATGGGAATGGGAATCAATTAAAGGGGAGTATCATGGGAATCAATTATAGTGAGGAATCGATTATAGTGGATTCATGGATATACAAGTGGGAATCAATTAAAGGGGAATACCCCAATAATTAATGCCCACTATAGGTTCATACCCTCCGTAATGGGATGCAAACTGAGTCCCCCCCAGTTGTAAGTTGGTCAAACCGCATTAACAGTTCGTATCCCCCATAAACATCCATAACTGGTTGGTGGTTTGGAACATTTTTCCATAAATTGGGAATGATAATCCCAACTAATTCATATTTTTCAGAGGGGTAGGTATACCACCAACCAGATAAAACATGGTTATCCAAGTTACAAGTCAACTTAGCTATCTAGGAGGCCTCACCCTCTGGTAAACAAACATAGCACTGGAAAATCCATTAGAAATACCCTCTGGTAAGCTAACATAGCTATTGAAAATGACCATTTATAGTGGATTTTCCCATTGAAAATGGTGACTTTCCGTAGTTATGTTAGTTTACCAGAGGGTAGTTCGATGATTTTCCTAGAAACATCCGTTGAGTTCGGGGGGCTTCCCATTGCCAGCTGATTACTGGAGGCGATTCCCGATGCTGAAAGTGGGCCCACATTATACAAGGGTCTAGATATTTCTTGCATTGAACAGCTGCCTAATTGATGGCGGATATCTATGGATATCTAATGGATATCTGGGTCTGGTTCAAAATTTTAAGCCCAGAATTTGTTGATGTACCCTCTGGTAATTTGCTACATAGCTATTGAAAATGGCCATAGAAATAGTGGATTTTCCCATGAAAGAATATTATTTTCCATAGTTATGTTGTGCTTTTTGAACATATGTTGTGGCTCCATGGGTCATTGGTGTTTTGAGGGACCCCCATTCTACAAGGTGGTGCCCCCTAGGCAAATGTTTGTTGCAGGGTTGATGTTCATTCATCTGATTGTAGAAATATCATGAAATATCTACCACATATATGTATATGTATTGGTTGGTGGTTTCAAACATGAATTTTATGGTTCATTTCATATATGGGATGTCATCCTTCCCATTGACTAATATTTTTCAAGATGGTTAAAATCACCAACCAGGAGATACATATATATATACATATAGATAACCATAGAAATATCTACCATAAATCCACGTTAAGTGTTAACCGTCGTTATGTACGAACTTTGCTAGCGATTCGTTGTTTTTTTCCCTATCCAACTACCTAGACCCTCAAAAGTACCCTGAAACACGGTGTTGTACCCTATAACTTACTTAGTATTTGAGCATTTTTTGGTGGTATTCAATTATAAGGGTTTGGGTATACATATATACATAGATATAGATAGATGTAGATTGTATACAAATAGATAGATATAGATTATATATATATATATATTTCGATACGCATGATAATTCCAAAATGTGTTTACCTTCTGAGCCATCATCTTGTTTCCATTCTCAGGTCCTTCGGCACATCAGCTTGCGATACCCAGAGCAGATGAAGGCGCCGAGAAGCGGATCACGACTTCGTTCACTCTCTTTGGTTGCTGGTAAATGACCATGTTTAGTCCAGTAGCAGATATTAGATGTTTTATGATGTTATCACAACATATATATATAATTATATGTATATATAATCATATATTACTAGTACAACAGAGTGATTCAGCACAGTTTGACCAAGTTGCTTTTAATACAACGGATCGTAAGTATCATAAGCTTAGTGAGTTTGACAGGTGTGTTATAAATTAATCATCGTCCTTTACTGCATATTGTTTTGCGATTTGTTACACGATGTCCATATACAAATCCACATATGAGTTTCTCTTCAATTCGGTCAATATGTAGTTGCATACATGTTGTATCGATCTATAATATCTATTTGTAACCCCGGATTAATAAACCATGGTTTATTTATTTGGGGGGGGTACTCCTCCAATAGTCACAATCTGATACTTCAATGGTACCCCCCAACTAAACAGCCGTAAACGGAGTTTATGAATCCAGGGTTGACATTATTCATGTCTATAAATGGGTATGGCTCAAAATTAGGTACCCCAAAATTATGGATGGTTAATACTAAACTAGACTAACATCTGTGGTCCCCTAGGTCTTCCATTTTGACCCACATCCAAATATGTATATACCACGATAATATCGGATTTGGTATGCGGCCCCCGTGCCTCTGTCCCCGGGAAATCCCGAGGTGCTCATTTGCTCGAAGGAGGCGCGGCTTCCTCGATGGGTAATTACTCGCCATGGAGGTTTCGTTCGCTGAGAACATTGGTTCGAACTATTTCTCGGGGAGTTTTGGAGTTCCGTTTTAGATTACCAGAGGGGAAATCTAACATCAAACATTCCCCATAATGTGCCAAAAATGGAACGGTTTGGAACAATTTGAATAAGATCACTCTTTCAATTGAGCCCCCGATTGAGTCAACCATTCCGAGAATCGGTTTTAACGGGACAAGTACAGGAACACTTTATATTTCAGGATGTTTGTGGCACACTATGATAGTTTCCTATAAATGTTTTCTCAACTCAATCCATTTAACCATGGTTGATGAATGCCTCCATGAGTGATATGTCAATCTTTTGCCGCCAAACATGGCACATGGATATCGCAAAAGCGCCCCAATGATAGCCAGTTACTGTACAGGGCACCCCCAGTTGTAAGTTCGTTTATACACCCAAAGAATCAACTTTGGTTACATATAACCACCCGATAGTTTCGGGAATTACCAAGCCACTTTGCTATCATCATCTATCATCAAGCAGCTACAAAATCCATCGAAATCCCATTCCCATGTTCTCTTGCTTCAGAAGTTCGGTCGCCATTTTCCTATGCAAAATACTATGAAAAGAACCTATGGTTGGGATTTTCCAATGGAAAATCCCATGGAAAATCCTATGGTTGGGCAGCAGCTGGTCACCTTTAAGGCGCCCTTGCGATTTCTCATGCAGAAGTTGCCCGCGCCCGTGCCGCCGAGTTTCTCGGGGAACTGGCCGGGAAGAAATGGGGGGGAGGTATATATTAATTTAATGGGTTATATCATTGTATTATATTATATATATATAGTATTATATATAATTATATATAATATATCATTATACATTTGTATATATATATAATTATATACATTAGTGTTCTATGATATTGTTATATATATATACATATGTGACATCATTGATCAACATAGTTTTCTGGATATGTTAACCATCACCTCTGTGAATCAATCAGAACGTGTGAGTCATATGTGGTCACATGTGATACTACATGCTTGCACGCATCCATACATTACATTACATGACATACCATACATACATACTATGCCATGCATAGATAGATCGATCGATAGATAGATAGATACATAGATAGATAGATAAATAGATAGAAAGATAGCTAGATAGCTAGATAGCTAGATAGCTAGCTAGCTACACACACATACATACAAACAAACATACATACATACATAGATACAGATACATACACATACATACACATACATACACATACATTCACATACATACACAAACATACACATACATACACATACATACACAT